TTTTCCATGGAGTTAAAGTTATACCAATTCTTCTTTTGTTTGTATTTTAATAGTAGGGTAAGAATAAAGTGTGTTTTGCCTAAAGCAAAGCAGTGTAACCAATCATATTACATCTGGAACACAAAACCTTACACATGCCTTTAAATAAGATAAAAGTTAGGGTCTTGGTTGTCTTCTTGATATATTTGAAGGCATTTTGAGCTGCTCATTACATATGTCAATGATTTGCAGATGAGGACCAAATGTAATATTTCCAAATTTGTGGATGACATAAAACTAAGTGGGAACCTGCATTGTAAGGAAGATGTAAAGCACCTTCAGGGGGATTTGGACAGAACTAGCAAATGGATAAGAATGTGGCAGATGGAATGTAATGTAGAAGACTGTGAGGTAACCCACTGAGACAGGAGGAACAGATGTGTAGAGTATTTCTTAAATGGTAAGAAGTTGGAAAGATGTTGTGCGTTTCCACTAGAACCTAGTTGTCCTTGTTGATGAGTCACTGAAGGCTAACATGCAGGTGCAGGAAGGCTAATGAAATGTTGGTCTTTATTGCAAGAGGATTTGAGTACAGGAGTAATAAAGTCTTGCTTCAATTATTAGCTTGGTCAGACCACACCAGGAATATTGTGAGCAGTTTTAGTCTCTTTATCTCAGGAAAGATATTACAAACCTAGAGGGAGTACAAAGAAGGGTGAGGAGACTAGTTTCCGGAACTGTCCTATAAAGACAGAATGAGCAAACTGGGCCTGTAGTCTTTAGAGTTTCAAAGAATGAGAGATGATCTCATTGCAATTTACAAACTATTTAAAGGGAGAGACAGGGCAGATGCTGGTAATATCTTTCCTCTGGTTGGGGAATCTAGAAGCAGGCACAGTATTTATAAATAAATGGCATACCACTTACGTCTGAGATAAGGATCAAGTGTTTTACTCAGGTGGTTATTGAACTTTGGGATTCTCTATCACAGAGAGCTGTGGAATCTCAATCTTGAGTATGATTAACGTAGAGATTGAGTAAAGGCATTGAAGTGTTCAATCAGCCATGATTATATTGAATAGCAGGCTGATTTTGTCCCAGTTGCTAGAGAGAAAGATGAAGTCAGTAACTATAGAATAGAGTTTAGATGGTGACTGAAAATAGTACCTTTAGTCTTGACAATATTTAACAGAAGCAAATTTCTGCTAATCCAATGCTAACTGTCAGACAAGAATAGAGTCATAGAGATGTACAGCACCGAAACAGATCCTTTAGTCCAACTCGTCCATGCCGACCAGATATCCTAAATTAATCTAGTCCCATTTGCCAGCATTTGGCCCATATCCTCTAAATCCTTCCTATTTATATATCCATCCAGATGCCTTTTAAATGATGTAATTGTACCAGCCTCCACCACTTCCTCTGGCAACTTATTCCATACACACACCACCCTCTGCACGAAAACTTTGCCCCTTAGATCCCTTTTAAATCTTTCCCATTTCACCTTAAACCTATGTCTTCTAGTTGTGGATTCCCCCACCCCAGGGGAAAGACATTGTCTATTTACCACATCCATGCCCCTCATGATTTTGTAAACCTATATAAAGGTTACCCCTCTGCCTCCAACGCTTCAGGGAATATAGCCCCAGTCTATTCAGCCTTTTCCTATAGCTCAAATCCTCCGACCCTGGCAACATCCTTGTAAATCTTTTCTGAGTCCTTTCAAGTTTCATAACATCCTTCCTATAGCAGGGAGACCAGAATTGCACACAGTATTCCAAAAGTGGCCTAACCAATGTTCTGTACTGCCACAACACAACCTCCCAACTCCATACTCAATGCACTGACCAATAAACACAAGCATACCAAACGCCTTTTTCACTATCCTGTCGACCTGTGACTCCACTTTCAAGGAACTATGAACCTGTTCTCCAAGGTCTCTTTGTTCAGCAACATTCCCCAGGACCTTACCATTACGTGTATAAGTCCTGCCTTGATTTGCCTTTCCAAAATGCAGCACCTCACATTTATCTAAATTAAACTCCATCTGCCACTCTTTGGCCCATTGGCCCATCTGATCAAGATCCCGTTGTACCCTGAGGTAACCTCTTCGCTGTCCACTACATCTCCAATTGTGGTGCCATCTGCAAACTTACTAAGCATACCTCCTATGTCCAGATCCAAATCATTTATATAAATGAGGAAAAGTAGTGGACCCAACAGTAATCCTTGTAGCACACCTCTGGTTACAGCATCCTGAAGATTTAGCAAAAGTTCTGGAATGGAGAGAGCCTTTGGAGAGGTAGAGTAGGGTGTAGTACAGTATATATTGTGCTTTTGGATGACATGGAAATGGAAAGGCAAGCTATTGGAAGTGATACTCTATAATCGGTTTACAGGCTAGTGTAGTGCGGATGACAGTGGAGAGATGTTGAAGGAGGATGCTATGGTTAACTGTGTCAAAAGCACAGAAACATACCATCCAGACCAACGGTCCACATCAGTGTTTATGACCCACACACTTCAACTAATGAAAGCAACACATCCTTCTATTCCTTTCTCTCTCATGTGCTTATTTAGATTCCCCTTAAAAATATCTATACTACTTGCCACAGCTACTTCCAGTGTTCCCACTCTCGAGGTAAAGAAATTTCTCTTGAATTCCCTATTGGATTTATTAGCGACTATCATTTCTTTATGGCCTGTAGTTTCTGTCTCCCCACAGTGCCAACCTAATTTCTACATCTACCCTATGAAACACTTTAGAATGTTAAAGATCCCTGAGAACTACTGCTCTGTTTTCTATTTTCAGGAGATAAATCCCAGCCTGTTCTGTTTTTTCACTGATCTAATAATCCTCTCAGTTCTGGTATTATTTCAGAAAGTAGTTGCGCACGGTTTCCAGAGCCTTTCTATCCTTTTATTCTTTTGGAAAACAGAACTGTTCACCATGCTCCAAGTATTGTTGAACCAAGATTTGATATACATTTGACATAACCTTCTTGCTTTTCAATTCCATCTCACTAGAAATAAACACAATTTTTTTTAAAATTCATGTCACTATAAACTGTGTATCATATGCCCAGTTCCTCTATTCTTTTGCCGTATGTAGCCATTTGGTGTGAATTTTAACCTCTGTGTAAATGGGGTTGTGTGCAGGAGTAAATCAATTAGATTAAAACCACCAATGTCCACACTTACCTTGAACATGTTCAGTGTGCTCACCATCATTTCTTAGATTCATAGAATTATACAGGACAAAAGGGGGCCATTTGACCCAGTGTTTCAGTGCAACATTTTTGGTGGTCCTATCTGTTGAAGCCAGCATCCCCACTCTTTCTTGAATGCATGTAATTCTGCAGATAAATTCATCCATGTTTCAAAGCTGCTTTTGTGGCAACTTATGTGCTCGAAAGAAACTACCACTGCTTTGGTGGCCTTGTCTTTCAAGTACTTGCATAAAATAAGATCTTTTGTTAGCCTAATGGCAAAATGAAATTTTGCATTTTTCAGACAATGTAAAAACAATGTAAAATATTAATTGACGTCAATAGAATGCAGCAGACACAACTGAGCATGCAACGTCTTGGTTATATCAAATGCCTGAAAAAAATATGATTGCACTGTAGATGTTAAAAAAAAAACAAATAAAACATGTTAAAGTGACACTAACAGCATTCCTTGTTACTTCTGTTCATTAGCTGTGGCAAAGAACAGAGATTAGGATAGCTATAGTCACGAAATTAACAAAAATAAATTTTAATAAGTTGTCAGTGGAATTATCTCCAATTATTTAGCTGACAACATAAGAGACAGAAATTGATAAACATAAATCTCAAATTGATCCTACGAAACAGTTTTTATTAGTCTGGGTTGTGTATGTTGAGACAGAAAAATAATACAAAATCTCTTTGCCCTTAGGTTTGATAAATGTGAAGCAAAGGCTCATGCATTGCAAGTTGATATTATAAATCAGTTTGCTCAAACTTTATGCCAGCTTTAAAATATATTTAAATTTTATACAAGCAAAATTCTTTGAATCAATTTAGATCTTATGTGTAAGTGCTCATTCTGGTGCAATTAATTTGCAATTCAGTTCAATAGACAGTAGAATCAGGGAACACAATGGTTATTATAATCTGCAGTGAACTGTATTAAATTTTGGAAGAAAAATGCTGGTACAGCCCTTCCACCCTGACAAAGTTCTATAAGCTAAAAATTGTAAACAGTTTATGCGTGGTCCTGAAATTTAGAAGTTAAATAAATAAAATAAAACAACTGTTATTTTGTTCCTTTCAAGATTCTTGATTATACCTATCAAGTCAAACTTCAAATTCAAAGTATTGATAGAATGAATAACATTAGAGAGGACAGTGCTAACAGACTGAAAACTAATTATCGAAGTAAATTTGACTTTACATAATACACTAGTCATTGGAGGATTGGTCACAAATTCCATTAGAATTGTGTAAAATAGTTAACACTTCTGAAAACCATGAGTTGACATCATTGCATTGGTAACCAAAATGATATTTTTTTCTTCATCTCGTGCAAAGGCTCTGGTCATCTTTGATTAAACTTAGGAACAGTTTAGTTCTCGGACTATGATTTGGTCTTTGAAATAATTTTTGTTGCAACATTCAGATGTAAGCTAACCTGATCCAAGAAGAAGAAGAATGGGTCAGATTTTCGAATTCCATTGTTTAATATCCAAATCAATCCAAGACAATACAGCACAGGAATAGGCCCTTCAGTCCACCAAGCCTGCACTGATTCCTAGTCCTTACTTAGACCTGCTATGTCTAGCTCATGTGTGGTTTCTATCCCTCTGTCCGCCTCCTGTTCATGTATCTATAAACATATGCCTTAAATGTTGCCAATGTGCCTGCTTCCACCACCTCCACTGGCAGTGCATTCCTGGCACCCATCAGCATCGGTGTCAAAAATTTTCCCTGCACTTTTCTCCTAAACTTTCCCCCTCTCAATGCAAACACAAAATGATGTATCTGTGCAGGCCTCACCTGTTGTTGCTGGTTTGGGTAAAATTGACTGTTGAGCTTCCAAATTGGCCTTCTGCTCATCAACTCTCTTTGTCTGAAGCATGTTGTGCAATGGAAAACCATCCTTCAGTTTACTGTGCATCATTGTGTGGTGTTGTTACAAATTCTCTTTTATAATTGGCGATATCTTTAGTGAGAAAAAAGGCAGTTGTGAACAGAAATTCATTTCCCCATTCCACCTGACAATGTTCAAAAAGATTAAACAATAAAATTAATGAGTTATTTTTCCTATCTCAAAGTAGTCAGTTCAATTTATGATTAATTAGTCATTATCAGTAGAGGAACAATGGTGATGTTATATAATAAAATGAATGATGCGCATAAATACCAATATAACTCCTGATATGAACCATTCCTGTGTGGTATGGGTGTGGATGGTAGTTGCAGTGTATTCTAAATTGTTCTCTCCCCCCTCCAATATCTTACATCAGGCATGGGAGGGCCACCGAACATAGAACATAGAACATAGAACATAGAACATAGAACATAGAACA